TTTACGGTATCAAGTAGATCATCATACATTGTGATGTGAACAATTTCGGAATCCAGAAAAAACAATTATAGTGACATTTCACCTCGAACTGTTTGAATTGCGAACAGTAAATTTGACACACATACACACACACACCTAAGGGACTTTTGTAAACATCACTCACTTTGAGTACAACTCTTACTGCCTCATACAAAACTCTTTAAACCAATCTATTTGTCATCAGTTAGAGAACCATTGGAAAACCTGAGAGTACTGGACAACTGTTTTTTCCTACCCACCCACTGGGGTTCGAACTCAGGACCTTCTGGTGGTTACAAGGCGAGATAGCTCGTAGACCATTGAGCCACTGGGAACCGATTCAATGGTCCGAAAGGTCCTGGGTTCGAGTCCCAGTGAGACCGTACTGATGAAGAGTCCGAAACTAGCACAAAACAGCTGTCCAGTACTCCCAGCTGGTTTTCCAGTGGTTCTTTAACCGACGTCAGCGCCTGATGAAATCCTTCATGCAATCGAACAAAATCTCTACAAAACCAATACTTGAAAATCAATCTATCTGTGTTTTAATTGCAGTTAATTGTTCAAAATAATACTAAAATTCAAACAGAAATCTTTGATCTGCAGTATTATTTATTCTTCTCCTACATTACCACCGTCGTTTAGTCATTAGTGATTGTTAATTGTTACCGAATACTGGGAAATGCTAAAGATGGTTTACTAGGAGGCGGGAAGGAGTGCTTTTCAACATACGTTGGTATATGAGTGATCTAAGACAGTAGATTTAAAGTTTCCCTATTGGTTATCTTATAACTATTCTCTAGCATAAAACTAGTCACAGCTGCTTATCTGATCTGTTTATTTGGAGGATTTTAGGATTTGCATGTCCCAATAATTTGGATTAATTACAATTTCACCTACGTTTAGTCCGATAGATTATCAGATCTGAAAATTTGCCAGTTGCTTCTACCAAGAATCAAAGCAGACACGGATACGAGGCGGACTAACTAGGCCTGTTTGGTAAATTAAGAAATATCTAAATTCTTCTAGTTCAGCATAAATGCATTTTTCTATAGAATTTGTGGTGATTTTTTATTAATTTCAGCTTATTATATTTTCAAGCATCGGTTATGTAGCGATTTTGTTTGATTAGTTGAAGGATTTCATCATTAGCTGACATTGGTTAGAGAACTACTGAAAAACCTGGGAGTACTGGACAGCTGTTTCGTCCCACTAGTTTGGGACTCTTCATCAGTATGCACAATCGCCAGGGTTCGAACCCATGTCCTTCTAGTTGCAAGGCAGTTGCCCAGGGGTTCTGGTGAGAAGCTGTAACCAATAGGGTGCATCAGGCTGAAGGTGAGGCAGTAACTCATCGAAAAAGACATTGCGAAGTGGTCGCGCCTATGTCATGAATTGGCACAAGTTAGAATTCATGGGCTTTTATTATATTCTCGTCAAAAACCAACATCAATTAGGTAGAACATTTGTGACCAGGACCTACTGAACAACCATTTCGTTCTATCTTGAGACTCTTCACGGTGCGAAGCAATAGCCTTCAAACCATAGATCGAATCCAGGACCTGCAGACTGAAACACCAAGCTCATTGTCCAATTAGCCAATTGGGCAGGAATTCGATAGTTAATCCCTGAATTCTAACTCTGTCTATTCGTGATGCAACTCTGACCTCACCAATGACGTCGCTCAACATTCACTTCTAGGTGCTGACATGGTGGATCCGACTGCTCACGACTTACCACTGCAGCTTCAGAAATTCTATCCAGTAGCCATCCAATGAGTTGGTGATTAATATTCAGACTATAGGATTTATGGGGTTTTTGGATTCACTTTAACAGTTGGATTTTCGTCACTGGTTCGATCCCCGGCTGAGTTGTTGGCATGAAGAGTCCCAAGAGGACGAAACAGCTATCCAGTACTCCTCTCTCTCTAATTAATGCTGGTTCGTGAAGAAATTTTGCAATAGAAAATTTCTAAATAGGAGCATGAATACGAGCAGTCACCCTTCATGACCATAAAACAGAGTTATGCATCGCCAAGATTATTTCACATACAGAAAAAACACATAAACACAAGGAACTGACTACATCCTCTGTCTGAGATAACAAAAAACCTCAATACAGACAATATTCTTTGTACGACAACATGTTATTCTGTTTTTTCAATAATTTAATAATTCCCATTGTAGCATTAAGAACACAATATTCAGCGAATAGACTTTTCAACGAGCTGCTGTACAGCTTGATAATAAATTTGCGTCTGTACGGCAAATTGTTCTCTATCTCTGTAAAAGATAAGCTCCCCCTTTTCACCGCCTCCTTGGGCATCTATCAGTTCACCTGCTCCTCTTGTGGAGCAAGGTACATTGGCCGTAGTCAGAGGACGCTTTCCACACGGATACGAGAACACATTCCGACGTGGTTTTACAAGGGAGAAAGAAAGAGTGTGCAAAGCTCTATTCTGGAACACCTGATCACCTTCTGTCACTCCACCAACCCTGATAATGATTTCAAGATCATATATAGAATCCATGCTAACTTGCCGACCGCGTTTTCTTCGGTACAAACTTCTAAAGACAGCTGAGGCCTTGGCAATTCATGATTTTAAACCAGCCAGACCTTTGTGTACAAAAGAAGTATATACAATCCCTACTTCTGCCTTGGCCGTAGAGGGATAGACATTTATTTATTTTGTGTATTTAGTTATTCTATGTACTTTTCCCTTATTACTATGATTATTTTTAGTATTTTTATTATCATTCTTATTATTACTATTCTCACTCTGAATCTTTTCCATTCGACCCACTTATCATTTTAGACCCAAAATTATTAATTTTTATATTTTTGCAATATTGAGTTCTATCTTATCAAATTTCACATAATGTTATGTAGCATTTTATATTCGTCTACTAATCTTATAATTGTGTACCTCTTTCCAAAATCTATACACCTTATGTATCATTCTATATATGACATTAATTATTTTGCCACTTGACATTAAACTATGATTATAATCACAAATATTTTAATTGCATTTCATACTACTATTAGTATTTCATGTATTCACACCTGTGACCTAATTCCCTCACCGGATATAATTTCTTAAAAACTACATATATACGATTGTACAGGTTGATATTGAATTCGTTGAAAAGAGTCTCCGCTGAATATTGTGTTCTTTCAAGTGTTGGTTTGTAGCCAAAGACACTGGCTAGCGGTCGCGCTATGTCGTGAATTGGCAGAAGTTAGAATTCAAGGACCATTGGATCGGGTCCCAGTGGCTTGATGGTATACGAGCTCGCCTTGCAACCGGAAGGTCCTGGGTTCGAATCCCGGGGTGAGTACCGCTGAAGAGTCCCAAACTAGGATGAAACATCTGTCTGGTACTCCCAGGTTTTCCAATGGTTCTCTAACTAATGTCAGCTCATAGTGAAATTGTGTTCTTTATTCTGTTTTTAACACTACAACTTCAATCCTAACAATTTCAAATTATGTATAAGTCATTTCATGCCATTGATTCTCTTAAAGAATCAACTGTCAACTGCACCTGCATGACCCGATATAATCTCTGATTTCAGAGCAGACCTATAATCCAGTGGTCATGTACAGTTTCATCAAATGTTTTCTTCTTCTTCTTCATTCCTTTGCCTTCGGAGTGAAAATATATTCAGGCTTTTCAAGCTTTCAGCTTTGAAGTTCCCCCAAAGGATGCCTAAGAATAGGTGCTACTACATGCTTCCTCTGTCTAACGAGTACATTACAATTCGTTTTAAGAATATACTAAGAATGATAGTCAATAATATTAATATTTTACTACTCGGTATTGAAGAAAAAAATGTTAAGTACAGCATATATATATATATATATATATATATGTCCTTCTGTGTTTGTTTTAGAAGAAACCAGCATAGATTTCAACTGCCCAACTGATCGATATATATGAAGTACAAGTAATAAAGGAGGAGGCGAAGAAGAAGAATACTAAGACTAATAACTTTGAAGAAGACACAAGAAGAAATCGAACTAGGATTCGAACAAAGGAATGTTATCTTCTTTTATAACCATAGCAGAGAAGAGAAAAAAAACAACAACACCTTCAATAATAATACTTTACTTTAGAAAGAAGACTTGAAGAAAATCTTATAGTTTCAATCCAGAACTGAGTAAATCATGAATACAATTATTCTTCATCAGAGAAGATTGAACATTCATATCACTACTGATAGATATATTTAAGTAATATATGTATATCATATGTATATATATGTATATAAGGAGAAATCATTTCAAATTGAAGTTATTATTACTAATATATGTTTGCATACTTTATAATGATAAATCCAGTTCTATAAGCTGGATTACCTAGCCGACTGGTGTTCATGTTCTGACTATTCACCTGCCTTATTGACAAGTTCCAAGTGGTGACCGAAAAAAAAGGTGAAGGAATGTTTGTTTTAGTCTTTTGATTTACTGTACAGTAAACTGGAGGCGTACATGAATGTATATATATATTTGTATAAAGAATGCACATAAGTAATGGATTAATTACTTCACCGAAGATGTTTAGAGAAAAGAGAAAAACGAAGGAAGAGAAACCGAAACAGAAGTTTTGACAACATAAAGTATGCAAATAAATAAACAAACGGAATGGCATCAATTTGATTTTGTTTTTTTGAAATAACTCAGCTTTAGATACTACTCCAAACAAACAAAAACACACTACAACTCTTGAACAGCTTCCTCCCGTTTCGTAACAACATAGTGAAATTGACAACAATTATATAATTCAATCCACATTACTGAGTTACACAGTCATGGATACAGCACAATAATACAATTTATAAGTGGGAATAAATAATAGTCAGCTTAAATTGAAAATGATCACAGAAATAGTCGATTTGTCTCTCTCTTTGTCTTATCAGCTGTCTGCTTCCATGTGTAAATTTATGTATTATGTGGTAAGGCAATGAATGCTTTATCGATAAGCCTTAATGGTTATTCTCATTATTATTATTATTACTATTATTGAGTGATGGAGGTCTGTCATATCGCTCTGTCGGTGATTTATTATAAGATAAATCATTACCATTTTGATTATGCAGTATATGTTCATCGGATTCTGTGGAATGAACAGACGAGGATCGATTTGTAGGTGGAGGTATACGTGAAGATGGAGATGATGGGATTGATTGAGTACTATTATTATTATTATTGTTACTGTTATTGCCCACCTTCGGTGATGATGTTGAATTCTGTAGGCTGGTTAAAGCAAAAATAGAAAAATCAGTTGACTTCTGTTCATTATGATTATTATTACTTCTACATTTGGACATAACTGTAACGTCATCACCATTATTTATGACATCAATAGTATTGTCTTGGCTAGTGGTAGAATTACCAAAGTCATTGATATCGATGGTGCTGACAGGTGGACTAGTAACTGAGGTTTTACTACTATTATTTATTATTATTATTATTATTATTTGTATTTGTAATACTATCATCATTAAACAATGCGTTGGATGTGTTAGTCCCTTGATTTTTTGCTTGGAAAGGATTTTGATATAAAAGTGATAATATGTGTGGGATAAATTGAGGATATTGTTGCATATAAAAGGCAAGATTTGAAGCATAACTTGACAGGGGATTAATTCCACTGATAACATCTCCATGTGTTACAGCATCATCCAATTGTTGAAATGATGACTGGGAGTAGTAGTCTGTTGAAGCTTTTGTTGTCAATGGCACCGGTGGTGTTGTAAACGACGATGTTGATGGATGGTGATGTAATTTTTGTTCCATTAACTGATTTTGAATAAGCTGGGATGTAAAGTGATGCGTCCATGCAGATAAGAATTTATTGAATTGACTAGGATCATTTTTATCTGTGATGGTCGGATTTTTATGTGGAAATCTAAATTTATGAGGATTTATTTCATCATCACAGTGTGACAAACTTTCACTGTTATTATGATTAGTTGTATTAGTAGAAGTAGTAGTAGTATTAGTAGTAATGGCATTATTAAACCGTCCACCTGATTCACCAGGGATAACTGTTACATTTGGTGGAATCTCACTAAACTTAGGCAGATGTGTTAAATAATTATGCTTTAGATCTGGTTGACATGAATTAAACAAACTTCCTGGTGTAGTTGGACAAAGAAATGATGGGGATGTATTCCGTAAAGAGTCGATGTCTTTGTGATAACTCATTCCATGATTGTTATTATTATTATTATTATTGCTCACACTGAAATCCGTTTTGTACATACTTTCATTTGATGCATAGAAATGTTGATCAGATTGATTATTAGTACGACGGATTTTTTCAACTCTACTGCCCAAATCACCTAATCCTTTTGATCCCATACCTGTTCCAAAGAGAAAAAAAATATCAGCGATTATTTACTGATATAGTTAATAAACACAATGACATTAAAGAAAATTTATTATTAAAAAGGTAACAGAGGAGACAGACAACCATTCAATTAAAGCTCATTTACATAGAGTAAAATAATGTTTACGAGTACGTCTATGGTAGTAGTCACAATAGAAATTGAATGCAAAGCTTTTAACCAATGTCAGCTCATGATGAAATCCTGTAACGAGTCAATCAAATCCCTACAAACCTATACTTGAATATAAATGAGATGTTCACTGGCGACTTGCCCTATTCATATGGGTAGTTACCTGGGGTTCTAGGAAGAAGTCGTGACCACTAGGGTGTAGCAGGTCGGGTGTGAGGACAAATACTTGCCGGACACATTGGCTAGTGGTCCTGCTATATCGTGAATTGGCAGAGGTTAGAATTTATGGACTGGGCATTGGATCGGGTCCCAGTGGCTTAGTGGTATGCGAGCTCGCTAGCCTTGTTACCAGAAGGTCCTGGATTCGAACCCCAGTGGGTGTGTACTGCCGAAGAGTTCCGAACTAGGAAGAAACAGCTGTCCAATGGTTCTCTAAATGATGTCAGCTCATGATGAAATCCTGTAATTTTTAAAAATCCTTAACAAACCCATTACCAATGCTGAAATTATATGTGACCAATCAATAATAATATATATTGATAGGGTTAAAACTTTCTTAACTCAAACAGATCAGCCGTTTATGGCATAAAACTTCAAAACTGTACAATGATTGATGACACCCCACAGAGACTAAGTGATTATCTTGCCAGCCAATGTGAATATTTCTGTCTCAGTAAAATATCAGTTACCTAGTTTGTATGTCATGCAAATGGCTTACAGATGAAACACATTTGTCATCCAATGAAGCGTGAAGCAATGGGCATTATAATGTAAAAAGGGGATATCAATAGTGGACTTAATATTTCCTCTTTGCCAGTATTATTATTATTATTATCATCGCCGTTATGCTTTTGATCTATGGCACATTTTGAAGCACTTTGATACTTCTTTTATGTTATAAACACCTTAGCAACGTACACACAAACACACACATAAGTATAGTTTTGATTTTTGTAATTATGTAGAATAACGCATCGCCTCAACTCAGTAGGAAGATGTGATTACTTTGATAATGTGTAAAAGCGTAGAAATTTTTACCCGTGAACTCATTGAAAAAGCCTATTAACTTGATATTGCTTTTTCAAGCATAATCTATCCCGCCGCTTCTCCCCTTTCTTTCTTTCTTTCTTCTTGAGTAAAGTTCCATTAACCTATTAATTTGTGTCAACACGTGTAGTCAATAAAGAGTCATTTACATGCACACACACACGCATACACACGCATTGACACACACTCATCTATATTGGTCGACTCTATGAAAGCCTTACCCAATGCCTGTAAATAAAACCGATTTCCTTCGCATTTATATCTCTACGTCTGACCTTTAATTTTTCATCGACATTATCTCCGAGTATTGTTTGTAATTATCATTTTATGTTGTTTGATAATTTCTTTCTTTCCTTTTTTTAACAGCAAAGCATTCGTTTCCCTTTTTCTAGTCGTGTTTTGTGAGTAGAAGTTGCATACAGGAAGGCAGAGAGAGAGAGAGAAAAGTGGCTATCGGGTCATGTTTTCTTTGTGTACAGCTGCTGGGTATGTATTTGCTTCAGTCTGCACACACACACGTACACATAGAAAGAGAGACATAAAAACGATTAGATGTGTAAAACTGCCCGCATGTCAAATTATTTTAAAGTTAACAACATAGAAAATAAATATCTTGGTAGATTTCGTCAATAACAACAATAACATCAACAACAACAAGGACAACTGACGTCAGTTAGAGCACCACTAAATTAACCATGATACACTGGTAATTCAGATCGCTTCAGTAGTCTGCACCGATGAAGTCACTTAGAGATGAAGTCCGAGGCAGTCAGGTTACAAGATAAGACACTTGATCTCTATTGTTTCCGACAGTTCTCTAGCTGATGACAACTGAAATCAATCTAATCCCTATAGCATAACACTTGGTTTAGTAAACAAACACTGTTTCCCCTACCCTATCCCCCAATTCTTTTCAATTTTCACGTGGAATATAATGTATAAAGCTATGAAGTTTCATCAGCATTGGCATTGATTTTACGGGCCTGGGTTGTTAGGCTCACGTCCGACATTCCTTCATTCTCTGGGTTTTCTACAGGACAGTAAACGTTTACAGGTGCGTAGTAGAAAGCCCCAAAACTAAACCAAACATCTCAGAAAAGACTATTAATTGCGAATCATCCACCTGAGCTACAAATCTTCTCTATATTTTTTCAAGTTAGTTAGTTAGTTAGTTAGTTAGTTAGTTAGTTAGTTAGTTAGTTAGTTAGTTAGTTAGTTAGTTAGTTAGTTAGTTAGTAGTTAGTTAGTTAGTTAGTTAGTTAGTTAGTTAGTTAGTTAGTTAGTTAGTTAGTTAGTTAGTTAGTTAGTTAGTTAGTTAGTTAGTTAGTTAGTTAGTTAGTTAGTTAGTTAGTTAGTTAGTTAGTTAGTTAGTTAGTTAGTTAGTTAGTTAGTTGTTAGTTTTAGTTAGTTAGTTAGTTAGTTAGTTAGTTAGTTAGTTAGTTAGTTAGTTAGTTAGTTAGTTAGTTAGTTAGTTAGTTAGTTAGTTAGTTAGTTAGTTAGTTAGTTAGTTAGTTAGTTAGTTAGTTAGTTAGTTAGTTAGTTAGTTAGTTAGTTAGTTAGTTAGTTAGTTAGTTAGTTAGTTAGTTAGTTAGTTAGTTAGTTAGTTAGTTAGTTAGTTAGTTAGTTAGTTAGTTAGTTAGTTAGTTAGTTAGTTAGTTAGTTAGTTAGTTAGTTAGTTAGTTAGTTAGTTAGTTAGTTAGTTAGTTAGTTAGTTAGTTAGTTAGTTAGTTAGTTAGTTAGTTAGTTAGTTAGTTAGTTAGTTAGTTAGTTAGTTAGTTAGTTAGTTAGTTAGTTAGTTAGTTAGTTAGTTAGTTAGTTAGTTAGTTAGTTAGTTAGTTAGTTAGTTAGTTAGTTAGTTAGTTAGTTAGTTAGTTAGTTAGTTAGTTAGTTAGTTAGTTAGTTAGTTAGTTAGTTAGTTAGTTAGTTAGTTAGTTAGTTAGTTAGTTAGTTAGTTAGTTAGTTAGTTAGTTAGTTAGTTAGTTAGTTAGTTAGTTAGTTAGTTAGTTAGTTAGTTAGTTAGTTAGTTAGTTAGTTAGTTAGTTAGTTAGTTAGTTAGTTAGTTAGTTAGTTAGTTAGTTAGTTAGTTAGTTAGTTAGTTAGTTAGTTAGTTAGTTAGTTAGTTAGTTAGTTAGTTAGTTAGTTAGTTAGTTAGTTAGTTAGTTAGTTAGTTAGTTAGTTAGTTAGTTAGTTAGTTAGTTAGTTAGTTAGTTAGTTAGTTAGTTAGTTAGTTAGTTAGTTAGTTAGTTAGTTAGTTAGTTAGTTAGTTAGTTAGTTAGTTAGTTAGTTAGTTAGTTAGTTAGTTAGTTAGTTAGTTAGTTAGTTAGTTAGTTAGTTAGTTAGTTAGTTAGTTAGTTAGTTAGTTAGTTAGTTAGTTAGTTACTTAATAATATGAGGTGATCACTTATCTTTAAATTGCTTTAATAAAATAGATAAAATCTTTTTCTGATATGTATCATTGTATATACAAATTATATACATTATCTTGCTTACTTTTTATAATAGTTTCAAAAAAGAAGGGAGGGTAAAAGGAATGATATCAGTTAAGTAAAAACTACTTGAGAAAAAACAACCCAACTTACGTTTACTGGAATATCTAACAGATTTTAAATCTGTTCTGTTTAAATGTAATGGCAATAATGTTTTCATAGAATTTATAGATAAGTTATCTTTGTTGAATTGGCTGGATAAATGCATATCTAAATCGTCCAAGTCATGTTCATTTTCTGTATCAGAGGAGGTGTTTACAGGACTTTCGTAGATTTCACGTACATCCTTTGGATTGTCACAGTTATTATTGTTATGATTATGATTATTATGATTTATAGGCCGATTAGGATACTTTAAACTGTCCAACCTTCTGTAATGAAGAAAACAGAAGAAATATATGTAAAGAGAAGAAAAGAAACCTTAGAAAAGTAGTATAATCTTCACATATGTGATTAGCTGAAAACGAATAATCAATAATTCTCTTTTATATACTTATCGCTTACTAAACTCAACATTCTACACTAAATATTCGCAGGAGTCATATTATTTATTGTTGTCATCCCCTTGGGTTCGAGGGGAACAAAGGATTTCAGAAGCTTATCTCCATTTCATCGTGTTCTCTGAAGACCTCTTTGGCACTAAGCTCTCACCTCTTCTTCACACAATCTCCTCCTCCATGTCACCTTCGGACACCAACTTGTCGCTTCCCAACTGGGCTCCACTCGACAGCCTACCTGGGGTTCAGTTTCACTGAATGGGCTTCTCAGTATGTGTCCTATCCATCCCTATTTTCTTCGGAATATTTGTTGAGCGACAGGTTCTAGACCGATTCGTTCACAGAGTTCCTTTTCGCTAATCCTTTCCGTTTAGTTATCTGATCTTCATTTAAGAGCCAGAGAAGGCAGTTGTTGATAAAAGCCTGTGGCAGCGTGTTAGAAATGCTTTTGACGACGCACCAAGTCTCTGAACCGTATAGAAACAGTGACTGATTTGACATGAGTGTTGAAAATGCCAAATCTTGTTATTTATATGTTGAGTGCTCCAGATTTCCAGATTGATTTTAGAATGATGAGTTGGTTTTACATTCCTACTTTTGAAATCCTCTTCCATATCGTCTATAGATGAAATGAGGCTGTCTAGATAAGTGAAAGAAGTGGCTTCGTTCAAATTCCTTCCGTTAATGATGATTGTTGTTTGTTGTTGTTGGTTGGTTAATTAGTTATCTTCATCACCTCTGTTTTGTCTATATCCACCTGGAGTTGTGTCTTCACTGCCTATGCTGTTTGTAGGCGTAGGTGCATTAGGATTTTGAAATCGCTATTTAGCGTCTGTAGAAGAAACACTTCTGTAGACAACTACAATCAGTAATCGAGTAGCGTATTTCACTAGAAGCCAACATCAGTTCAAAAATTGTTCAAAAACATGCAGCACCGGTTACCTGTTTCGTCTAATCTTCCAACTCTTTGTAGGGTGCTCTAAGTAACGTCGATTAGGCACCATAACTATACTGAAATCAATTGAAATCCACACAAACTCAAGAAATCACGAATTGCAGTAGCTATTGGACACATGTTTTATAATTCCAATGAGAAGTCTTATCCGTGTGGGAATCCCCTGTTTCAGGTGTGAAGCAAATGCCCATCGATACCAGTGGTTGGAGCTATACTGAGAACTGACAAGAGCTAGAACTTACAAGCCACCGAATTCTATCCCAGTAACGATAGGATAAAATACTTCCCTCTTAACTTAGATATCTTAGATTCAATCCCTGATGTGATACTTGGTGCACACTGCTGAGATAGCTAGCTCCCTGATGTTCCTTGATTTTCACTGATTCTCCCACTAAAGTCAGTTGGTGACGAAATCTACCCTGAAGTTGATATAAATCCTTGAAAAACTACATAAGTTCGAAAAACACACTGGCATGTAAATTTCTGTCAACAATGATGCCGACTTTTTAGCTCGAGTTACTGTGCAATTAAGAAACGAAAAGGAGACAGACGGATATAAATGTCGATGGGATAATAAAGCTATTTGAGGGTGAGAAGAATAAAAGGCATCACTCATATAATAACTCCATTTAATTTAACAACTAGGTGCCCTAAACTGATGAGTCGTCAGCTGAAGAAGCGTCAGCTGTCGAAACACTTGACCACATATCTTATTATTGTGTAGCTACATGGGCTCGGAATAAGTTATACTGCCCAGAATGCTGTTAGTAGTCTTTCAGTAAAAAGTTTACAACTATTGTCTAACTTACTACTAAAATATACAATGTATCAAGCATCTACTTAAACAGTTTTCTCCTTTATAAATAATAAGGGGGCTAACCATTGTGACTCATTGTGAAACATTCTTGTCCCTGACTGATGACTGGGAAAGATGCTTTTCTAGATTATTTTATTTAAAGCCAATAGATTAGCGTCTTTCTGTGTCTAGTACACTTAACACTACTAAATGAGCTTATTCAAAAGTCAGCAATAAATGAATACTAAAAGTGGATTTATCTTGATGGATTTCTAGCACAGTCTCTCTAACCATTAAATTGCTGAATTTAGTCTTAGGAGTTAAAAAGATACATGTAAGTTATTTGACCTTGGTAAGTTCTGGAACACATGCAGTTTATGAAGGTAAAACTGAGAGTCTTAGTTGGCAGTATTATCTCGATGTATGAGAATAACTCTCGGACTTCACTGAATTTATCCTCATCTTATTTCCCCTCCCCCCTTACCTTCTCAGCTCCTATTTCTTTGAGCAGTTTTTCTATTTTCGAAATATCAAGGGGAGGTGTTTAAACTGAGTATCGAAATGTATTCTGTTTAATATTGGTTGATGGTGACTAGCAGTGGAACCAAGGATGTACATTTCATCCTATTTGTGACTTGTCATCCTCGATGTACTCATATTATTTCCCAGTCAATGATGACTTTCCCATTTGAGACTGGAACTCAGTACCTATAGATTCGAGCGCCACAGCGTTATCCACTAAACCACTTGGACGATGAAGACTCCCCCAAATTGCTTTGATTTCCAGACGTCGTCAAAGTATCCACATAAGGAGTTGACGACATATCAGATGATGCCGGTCCAGTCAGTCAATGGGAAAGTTTGAAATGAATTAAGTGAGAAACATAAAAGATTCAACACTCACTTTTTATCTCGTCTTCCTCCACCGGATTCACGAAATCCTTTAGCAAAGGGATTATTGTCAATCTTCAGTTGTGTTATCTGTAAATTTTAATACAGCACAATTAAATTGGACATTTAAAGTAATGCTCAACAGGCGGGGGAAAATATTAATGTTATACAAACAAAAAGATCTTTACCTTTACCCATGAAAAAGAAGAAAAAATTCATCTTTTGTTTAAGTTAAGTTTGTTTTCCTGTTGCTTTGTTGGTTGGACCGAAATGTGCATCACTGTTGACAGAACTGACACCTGTTAGTATTAGATGGTTGGAGACAATCGGCCACAGGAAGCCTTCGACCTGGGTTTCGTGCTAGCTAGCACTCACCAGAAAGGCGCATCTGCAACCTGGAAGGAATTCATGTCCCTTCTGAGATTCAAACCCGCGTCACCCAGTGCTGCAATCAGAGACCGCTGTCACTGAGCTATTCGGACTGGCTTGCAATTGACCTCCTGTAGGAAACTAGTCAGTAACTAGTGTAATGCGTGCATGTCTGGTTCTATCTTTGGTGCAGACTGAATCCTATCAGTCAACTTTGCAATATGGCCACCATCAAGCTAGGTGGCCTGACATCACGCTGCTTCCTGCCGACTGCCTCCAACCATCTAATACCAATAATTCACAGTGTACCGTGATGGTGAGCCACCTAGCTTGATGGTTTCCATATTGCAAACTTGACTGATGATAGAATTCAGTCTGCACCAAAGATAGAACCAGACATGCACACGCACACACACACACACATTACACTAGTTACTGGCTAGTTTTCAATAAAAAAATAACTGCCACCTGTTGTACAGGAGGTAACAGCTGCGGTGGCTCAGGTGGTCAAGGAGATGACGCTCTGGTGTTCGAAACGATGGATGATGGGTTTCAGTCCCAACAGGGAAACACCATTATTCAACTGTGGACTGCAGGTACATTCATCAATTGACGAGAACTGAACCACGTGAAAGGAGTATCTTGGATTACACTGCCAGTCAGCATCCAGCAAGCGAAATTGATCGCCTGTTCATATATGGTATGTAATTTTTTTGGGGGAAAAAAGAGGCCTTTCATCAGAATTACTAAATCATTGGTATAAAACAAAAGTCCATTTTGCAACTTGCTGAATTATCCTGTCACTAGGCGAATTTATCTTTTATTTGGCTTTGTGTAAATACGAAGCGGTATGTATTCCGCATTAGATACCGGCACTATGAGTCATGGATATAAACGATTTACTTTCAGCCATTAAGTGATGATTTCGGACCACCTTCACACATATATATATATATATATTTATGAATGGTTGACCAGCGAGTGAACTTATGTAGACTTGATGAATTCTTCTGTACTATGGTTACATGACAAACTATTTATGCGCTTAAAATTGTTCCCTTTTTCTCTTCTCTTCTCCTTAAATAGATCTAATCCCAATAACCATCGATTACGAGGTAGAGTTGCTAACATCACACCCAACCCGCCCCCCCCTCTTTACTGGAAGTACTACCAGATAAGAGAAGTTTAAGAGTGTGTTAGCCGGGAATCACATCCCTGAAGATGTGCGTGATTAGCAAAGTATTATTTATGCCACTTAGTCACTAGCACACACATACACACATATGCTTACGTAATGGTGGCTTCATGAAATATTTTACATTAACCTCTGATGAACACTTACACACTTACCAGGTAACTTTAAAAAAGGCCTACTCACCTTTTCATTTTGATAAGCAGTAACCGCTAAGAATTGAGTCTCTTTGAATGTATATGTATGGAATTTAGAATAGGGTAATCGAAGGATATCATTTGCACGGACCAAATGAAATCTTGGTTGGTATTTGTGCATTGAATTCAGTATTGTCTGTTGTGAGAAACAAAAGAGAATAAAAACAACAGCTAATTACAATTCTGTTTAGGAAATATACATTATTATTATTGATTTATTTTGTTTCTTTCATTTTACAGTAGGAAATAGGACTTCAAGGTGGAGCTCTGAAGTTTCCGTAGCATTGGAATTGATTTTACCAGGTAGGTTTCCTAGTCTCATGCCCAACCTTCCATCTTTATTAGGTTTACTGCCGGCTAAGCAAGATAAAAGAGTGCATCGGCGGTTGATTGCGCCCCAAAACACCTGCTTACATATATATATATATACTGGCAGTCTACCAATAGACTTGTAGGAATTAATTCCATATTAGTTTGTTTATTAGATGTATCACAGCCACAGAAACAGTATTATTTACGGGATGACGTTTCGAACAAAATTTATTGTGGTTCATAATCATATCAATTGTAATCACACGACTTCAAAACTTGAGCTTTATAGCTTTCTTTGTCCTCTCCTATTTGTCGTCGTTGGGGTAGTAGAATAATCCAGATATCTGCCTGGACAGGTGTTGAATCATTCCTATTACATGTATTTGCAGGTGATTCGATAAACAAAGCTTCTGTTATTAGTCTTTTCCCCGACCCTGTGACATTAGATTTTAAAACTGTCATCTTATCCCATCCATCCTATTGTATGGTTGTGTGTGACTGCATGTAGTACTATAGCAGAACTATTCTCCAAATTTCTTATCTTATTTGGACCAACCAATCTAGATTTTGCTAGGTATTTATGTTCGACTAGTCTGACTGTCCCTGTTCTACTAGTTTGACCTATGTGGAATAGTGGTTAGGACTCTCGTCGACCATGCACATGATCTGAGGTTCGATCAACTGCCGACGCACGCCTGATATCTATGGTCGGCCTGCAATATTTGGGCTACGGATATCACATGCTGAAAATTCCATACGTGTACCGAAAAATACTATGTGGAATCAAGCTCTAATCAAAAATTTAAAAAAATAAATGTATTTGACCTGACAATCATTGGAGGGTATTAGGTAAACTAAATTGTTTTGCTTTAAAGGCTCCACAGGATCCTTTAACCGACAAAGCTTGTTTCTAATTGAGTTTGTGAGTTTGAATGCCAGCCACTTTTATTCCTACCTTGTTAAGAGTTCTGCGTAAGGTTTTCGAGGTTCCTTCCTTGTATGGAATTACCACTGATGATTGAGATTCCTTATTGTTGGTGTTGTCCTGCGCATATTTGACATGCATATCGTCACTATTATTATTATTGTTATTACTATCACTACTGACATTATTTATTTTATTTTTACATTTCCCTACATATTTCTTGACTAATTTATCCGGGTAACTATTAAGTTTCAAGGCTTCTTTTATGTGTATCACCTCCTGTCTTAGATTTTCCTTGGTACTACTTAGTTTTTGCTTTCCCAGCTATCCATGAATTTATCTGCTACAACCGGGGATATTGGTGATCCCACGGCAACTCCCTCAGTTTGTTTGTATATTTTCCTTTGGAATTTAAATACTGTGGAATACTGTTTATCGAATCAACTACAAATACATGTAATAGGAATGATTCAACACCTGTCCATCCAGATATCTGAAAAATTCTACTACCCCTACGAAGACAAATAGAAGAGAACAAAGAAAACTATAAAACTCAAGTTTCGAAGTCGTGCGATTATAATTGGTATGATTATGAAGAGTAATAAATTGTATACAATTGGTGGATGGTGGCTAGCAGTGGAATCCAGGATGCGCATTTCGTCCTATTTGGGACTCGTCAGCTGGATGTACCTGCATTCCTCAGTGAGTGGTGGTGGTTCCCACTGAGGCTCGAACCCAGTGCCCATAGTTTCAAATGCCAAAGCGTTATCCACTAGACCACTTGGGCCACGAGAGGACGAAATGCGCATCCTGGATTCCACTGCCAGCCACCATCCACCAATTGTATACTACTTAAATACCCAGACATCGTCGAAGCATCTGCATAAGAAGCCGACATGTCAACCTGAGACCGAGCACTTCGGTCCAATCAATCGACGAGAAAATCAAAAATTCAATTCAATAAGTAATAAATTGTGTTCTAAACTTTGTCATCCAGTAAATATTAATACTGTTTCACTCACTGTGTGATACATCTAATAAACAAACTAATATATGGAATTACTTAGTACCACAGCACCCAAGTTTTACACATATATTGTAGGAATTAAACTCGAATGAAAACGGTGAGTTGTTCCAGGTGGATGAGAAAAGAAAAGATGAGGCAGAAAACCCCTCTCAAGGACATCAACTTTGATAAGCGGAGACTTGAAATAGTTCTTTGTGCAGAGAAACAGAAATGTAACTAATCCATAATCTACTACTCAATATTTATTTATTTTGGCAGGCTTACTTATTCAACCAGAGAAATTTAGCGGTTAAAAATCAAAAAGAACTATAGTGAAAATTATTCGAATCTCAGGGATTTTTTCTCTTCTGCATTTACAAGCGGACAACTTTAAGTCATCAAATGTGGAGAAGGTAGATAAGTCATAACTTCTTCATATCTTAGGACGTAAAATTACCGTCTAATATGCCTGCCAGAGAATCCGCTATTTCTCTATTGATACCTGTGTTCCCCTGAACTGTATAATTCCGATATGATTAAAAGTTTTTTTGATGCCTTACGCATCACAAAAATAAAAATGTGTGTCAAATTCACTGTGATAGCCGTCATTTCCTTGTAATCCTATTCAGCTCAGTTTCTGAGACAGTCACTATTAGAGTATAAGAATTCAGTTATGATCAGAGTGTGAACACTTTTCAATTTGTTTACGGTTTATTTAACAAAATGTCGGCATACTGATTCCGTATACATGGCATTTATATTAACATACATGCATACATGATGGCCTTAAACTAAATCCATCCAAATGTCAGACTGTTAATTTCAGTTTCCGATGTAAACGAAAGTTAAATGAAGCCGGTGGTTCTTATGACCCTTGCAAAATTGATGATACTGATATAGAAATCAAGTCTGAAGTTAAATATCTTGGATTAATTCTTTCTTCTGACCTATCCTGGCCTTCCCATGTCTTAGCGATTTCTAAAAGAATATTTCGTCTAACCTTTTACAGTAAGAAGTTGAGGTACTCAGGGATAACCCAACCACTTCTCTTACAGTTTGTCAACTCGTGCATCTTACCTATTCTTCTTTAATGTTCACCCTTGCTCATTCTTTCCTGGATTGCTTAAAAAAGACTATGTCATACTTCGTAGAACTATAAAAACTGACTGTCAGTAGGACGAGTGGTATCCCATTGGGCCATATCATTGACATTGTCATTGATAAGCACTTGATGTCATGCAACAAATTTGCTAAAGGAATTTTGTCAGACTCTGAGCACCCACTACAGTACCCGCAGCTCCAACCTTATGTCTCTTCAGGTAAAACAAAAAGTCTTTTCACAAGACTTTATGCACGTACGTCTCAGTATCAAAATTCCGCTATACCATATTTGGCACGTACTACTAAATAAACCATTTCCTCCACCCTTACAGCATCAAACTTTATTATTATTATTTATAATCCTCTCAATTTTTGTTTTTGTTTATTTTTTTCATAAGTGTGAGCATCATTTAAGCTGTGTTAGAACTGTTAATTTAGTATTTCCCTTCACTATACTATATCAACAGAACATTAGAACCGATAATCTATAACATGCTAAAATTTCCAAACTGAATCGCCAATACTGTTTGAAACAAACTCACTGTTATTATTATTATTATTATTTATCTCTCCTGAACTTCAAAATTTATATGATTTGGGAAAATGCTTTATTAGGGTATGTATAATGCGTCGGTGATTTAGTGATAGAATATTCACCAAGCAGGCAGGCTGGCAGGCACAAACCTAAACCTCCCTTACTAGTAGTAGTAAGTGTGGTAAAGAGAAGGGACTGAACGCAAAAACAAAAAATAAAAAATAACTTCAAAGCTCAAACTTGAAGCCCTAAGCTCTACTCAGAACTCAAAGGAATGAAGACAAAAGGTATGTACTGACATGTTCTTTATTACGTTTAATTTTACCGATGAAAAAAATGAATTAAACAGCCTCAATTTCAGTAGGTAGGCACTACACACCAATGAAAAACTAGTGTCACTGAAGTTATCTTCCGTAGTGGTATATACTTATTTAAGGGTTGGTTTTCAGGGATTCGATTGGTTACATTGGTTGCAGGAGCAGTGGAAAACCTGGGAGTACTGAACAGCTGTTTCGTCCTAGGCTGGACTCTTCACAGCGCGCAACCACCGGGTTCTAATTCCGACATATATATATATATATCCTTACCTACGTCCGATAAAACTAACACGAAAACCACCCTTACCCCCCCCCGCATATTGGTTGTAGTGATTTCATTTTGAGTATTCCTCTCAACACGCATAACATAAAAAAAAGCCGACATGTCAACCTGAGACCGAACACTTCGGTCCAATCAATCGACGGGAAAATCAAAAATTCAATTCAATAATTAATATGACCCGTTGCACAAGAGGTGGCTCTCGTGGCCCAAGTGGTCTAGTGGATAACGCTTTAGCGTTGAAACTATGGTTACTGGGTTCGAGCCTCGGTGGGAACATCATCACTCACTGAGAAATGCAGGTACATCAGCCGACGAGTCCCAAATAGGACGAAATGCGCATCCTGGATTCCACTGCTAGCCACCATCCACCAATTGCATACTAATCAAATCCCCAGACATCGTCGAAGCATCTGCACAAGAAGCCGACATGTCAACCTGAGACCGAGCACTTCGGTCCAATCAATCGACGGGAAAATCAAAAATTCAATTCAACATAAAAACTGTTCATCAAATACATTAAGCCATTCATTGACTGATATCGGATGAGTAGACAACTTATATGTTGTGTATGTCATTAGTATTACTATGTGATACACACGGATACGCCATATATTGAGTGGGAAATTCTTCTCCTTTTTTTTCACTGTTCCCTCAAAT